CTCCACACCCCCCCCCAAAAAAAAAAACCTCCTGGGAAAAAAGCGTCACCCCTACCTGAGGAGTATTATAAGAGTCGAAAGCGAAGCCAGCGAGGAGGACAGCGAGATTTATGTCGAAATCTGGGCGATCGCCATAGCCATCGAGCTCATCAACAGGGTCACGTCGACGTTCCTCCTTCGCGTCGTCAATTGCTTCAGAACGACCGAACTTGGTCACAACGCGCCGAGTTCTTCGCGCAAGATGATGGGTGTCCCGATCTCCTGCCACGTGGAGACGAGCCGTTGGAATCATCAAATTCCCCCTGCCACGTGGAATGGGCCGCTGCCTGGGTCGGCAGAACAAGCGCAGATCGTCGCCTCCGACGAAGTTTCCCGTCAAATCACTCCTAAAACATCCCCAACTTCCCCCTCTCCTCTTCCTCCTCCTCCTCCTCCCCCTCCCCCCCGCTTCTCCTGCAGCCTGTGGACCACCTCCTCTCTCTCCCTCTCCCTCCCCCCCCCCTGCCCCTCCTGGCTTTCTCTTATTCGGATACCTTCCCACAGCCATCTTCTCATTGCCTTCACTTGCGGACAGGCGACGTACACGACCAAACGCACAGCGGCAACAGACGGGAAAGTCCGAGAGAGAGGAGGAGAGGGAGGAGAGGGAGGAGAGGGAGGAGGGGAGGGGAGTGGTGGAGGAGATCCTGACTGTAACCATAGAGGAGACGTGATAAGTCGAACTTGGGGCAGTGCAGCGGATTGCTCTCGCGAGCGATGGAGCCGACCTCCGATCTAAGATCTGCCTCGGGATCCGGATCAGCGTCCTGTTCGGCATCTGGTTCGGTATCGCGCCGGACATCCTGGCCAGATTCGTGCAGTTAGCAAGCGGCAGGTTGCAGAATTGAGTCATCCCGACGAGGCAACAGTTGATCTTGAACCTCGGCCACTCTCGAGAACGGCACTTTTTTTGACACGTGGCTCGACAGCTGGCAGTCTTGGCAGCCAACAGCTGGCGCTCCTTTAATTACCTGGCGTTCCTTTGATGGCAGCTTTCACACGTGGCACGCTGACGATCTTTCACACGTGGCTGCAGCGTTGGCAAGCAAACAAGCACCTTTTTTTTTTTTTTTTTTTTTTTTTAGCAAACAAACACTCTTACTCTTGCCCACCGCTTGACAGCTGGCTCTCTTGACGACATGGCAGCGTTCACACGTGGCACGCTGACGATTTTTATTTTTTTATTTTTTTTTACGCTGACGACCTCTTGACAGCGGGTGCCCTTCCAAACCACCAATATTTTGCCAGCTGGCACTCTCAGTCAAATAAACGATGTCCGGGGGCTAGGTCCCACTTGCACGAATTAAGAGATAGAGACCGTAGATAGCCGAGATCAACGGCCTAAATCTCGTAATCCGTGCAAGTGGGACCTTGCCCCCGATAAATCTTGGTCAGGCAACGGACGGAAAGATTTTCCCACCAGAGTGTGGCCAGTTCATCGCGACGGAACCACTGCAGGGAGTCTCTTATCCTGAAGAAACCTGGACGCAAAAACGGTCATATTCGGTCGGTAACTACAGGCCCGGTACCCGAGTGTTTGTTCTGTTTGTTTATTTTTACCGGCGCCTTTCCTTCACCGTTCGCACCATATCGCAAACACTCCCAAAAAAAAAAGAAGGAAAAAAAAAAAATGCAAGCGCGCTACTACGGGCTTCGCGATCCCTGCTGGTTTTGATCCAGGGACCTTTCTGAGAAAGGATTTTCTGTAATTGGGTGACGTTTCCTGTTATTTGGAAGGTTCGATATGTGGTGGGCTATTTAACTTCTTCTTTTTGTTTTTTGTTTTTTTTAAAATAAAGGGCGACGGCTGAGGTTGTTTATCTTGGACAATTTAGATGTACTGGCCCCCAGATTGCTGGCCGGATACATTGAGGGCGGGTACGAATTTATTAGGAAAAGCTGGGAAGGCCGAGCGGTGCAATAGGACGGCTGTGGTGGCAGCGCTTCGGCACGTCCAAGAGCTTCAGCAGGTCTCGTTGGACCCATCCATGTCACAAGGCAGTTTGATGTTTGTTTACTTCATGTTCTGTTTTCTCATAATTTGTTCCTTTTGAGTTCCCATTGGGTACTTCACCTTTTTCTTTCCAGAGGTTGTGATGTCATTTCGATCTTGACTCTTTTGCACGTATTTTAGGGTAGGATTTTCCTTGGTATAAGTCATTGTTGTCTTAAAATTTTAGTTCCTCTTTGGCTACAGTGTGTGTGAATGGTTACATATAAGGTTGCTTTTGTTTTCTACGTTCGGCTTAGTTCAACTGTTCAGAATTATATGTTCATTCATAGATTCTCGATGTTCCTAAGTGCTGGTTAGGTCTGTGATTCAGTTAAAAGTCGAGAACATACTCTCCGTTTTTTAGCCGTTTTCTAGGCTAGTCTGTCGCATTTTAGTGTTCTGCATTTTTTTTATTTTATTTTTTTATTATTGCTTAGTTGTCTCTTGAGCACCACCTCGGGTGTTTTCTCAAAAAAAAAAAAAAAAAAAGAGAAGTAATTTTTTATTGTCTGTGTTCTGGCGCGGACGCTGCCCTTAGTGTTTCGTATTATTGAAGTATCTTAGGATTGAGAGAGAGGGATAATTGTTATCTCCGATGTATGGGAGTAACTTTGTGATTTTCTCTTCTTGTTTGTTTTAGGTATTTTTGGCTTTTTTAATTATACGAATAGCCAGCATGAAGGAGCAGTGAGAGCACCAACGGTTGGATGATACGAGAGACCCGGTGAAGAGCAAACTAGAGTTGTATCCATTGGGTGCGTGGTGGGAAACCCGTCCTGGCAACAAAGGCTGTTTACAGTGTTCTGGACAGTGATGATGAGAGGGTATCCCTACAGCTTATTCTTCTATCGACAGCGGCACTATGGGGGCAGTGTGACTGCCATCGTCAGTGGTGGGAGCGTTAGTCGAGTGTAGTCATTATAAGAGTAGTTAGCACGAGGGAGCAGTGGGAACACCAATGGTTGGACGAAATGAGAGACCCGGTGAAGAGCAAACTAGAGTTGTATCCATTGGGTGCGTGGTGGGAAACCCGTCTAGGCAACAAAGGCTCTTTACAGTGTGATTGGACAGTGATGATGGGAGGGTAACCCTACAACCTTTTCTTCTTGCCCAACTCCTGGTCTTTGAGCTTATAGGTAGTTTTAGTTCCTAACAACTTAGCCGTCTACTTGAATCCTGGTGGAAAGTAGTAGTAGGGTACTTGGACTGAATTTTAGAATTGATCTGTATCTAAGAATTTAGTATGCCTTTGGAAATAATTTTAGGGTTGAATTGTAAAATTTTTGTGAATTGCCTTGTGCATTTTCGAGATTTGCGGTTTATAACTCGTAGTTCTTGGCCAATAGTGTTTCGATCTTTTTTTTTTTTTTTTACACAATGTTCTTCCCTCAAATTCTTTTTTCGCCTTTCACTACCTTCCTACCACTACTCCTAAGACTATATAGAGGGGACCCCTGCAAGCATAGGGCCTCGCAAAGAAACATGCCGTTTTTTTCCTGAGTAGCAAGGATATTATACTGCCATAGATTTGCTTTGCAATTATGTTTTTTTGGAGACTCCGTTAAGGGACACTGGACCCGGTTTCCAGGAGCCTAAGCTGAGTATTGGCCTCAGCAAGCTTGTACCGGGTTGATATGTAGGGCTGTGTTCCCGGGCTCCGGTCGTCTCATTTGGAATGAAAAGCGCTATGTTTCTCAAAAAAATAATAATAATAATAAATAAAGGGCGACGGCCTAGAGATGTCATCATTGAGCTGACTGGCCCCAGTTTTTTTTTTTTTTTTTGAAATAAAGGGCGACGGTCTTGAGATGTCATCATTGAGCTGACCGGCCCCAGTTTTTTTTTTTTTTTTTAATAAAGGGCGACGGCCTTGAGATGTCATCATTGAGCTGACCAGCCCCAGGCAATTCAGAGATATTTGGCTTTACTCGTCATGTTCCGTCATCTGGATTCGAACTCAGGTCTATATTTCAACACTTCAGAGGTGTACCCATTGGCTCCTGGGTTATTTAACAAATTTTGCACGGGTCGTGTAACTGTTTTCTTCCGAAGTGTTATTGTAGGTCGATGGTTCGAATAGATTGATTGAATACAGATTTCAAGATTTGTTTTGGAAAGACCGAAGGGCTCAGTTCGGAGGTCCCAAGGTGTGGGTTGCCGGCCTGAGTGTGATAGGAAAGACTTCAGTCCCCTGGCGCCGTTCTTGGACCAGCAGGCTCTGAGCTGGTACTTCTTTTGTTCAGAACAAAGGCTCGATTCCTGTACCCCAAAAAAAAAAAAAAAAAAAAGGGTTCGATTCCTGTGCTTTAAGACAACTTTGTTGGTGTCCCAAGTGTCTGGACTTTTCCATAGACTTGAGCATCGCAAGGGCTCGTCAGTACGCAAGGTATGCAGACGGGGTACTCGTTTTCAACAGTACCTCTGCGACTGAGACCCCTGATGAGTGTTGTTTGGCGGGCGGCTGAAATCTTGGGTCCACGCCGCCTACACTTCATGTTTTCCTCTAATGATGGAGTTGCATTCGGGAGAAGTCGTACCCATGCGTATTGCTTTCTTCCTCCCCTACTTCTCCTCCTTCCTCTCCTCCTTTTCATTCCTGTTATGTTTTTATGCTTGTCTATATCTCACTCTTACAAATGGATATGGTGTTGACTTTGTGAATGGTTGGTATCTTGTCTCACTCTCACAAATGGTGTGGTGTGTGGATCTAATGGTTTTGGTTGGTACTCCGCCGTTTGAAAGAAATAACTCGCACTGTACTTGAAGGTTGTGCTGTTATTATGTGATAATGAATGATCGAATGCGATCGCTAATGGTCACTTCATTTCACGAAGTAACCATCGTAGGAATTAGACTACGTTTTGTGTGGCTTTGTTTGCTTTATTGAGTTGACGTCATCACTATTATAAATGTGGTTCACATACCTTCATCTACTATCGTGCTGACATACCTTCTCTGTGGTGATCCCAATCATTTCGTACGTTGGTGTCCTCATTGTAATTCGATGGTTTCGAATAACAACAACAGCAATAATAATAATAATAATAATAATAATAATAATAATAATAATAATAATGATTCCCCTTCTCAAGCTCCAATTCTTCCACTTCCTGCCTCACCTCTTCCTCCGCCATCCAATTTCGATCCTTCTTCTTCGACAACTGTTGTTGCGGTGAACACTTGTCAAAAAGGCGGTGGATGGCTTCAAACTAACCAACGTGTTGTTGTGTTGGTGGACCAGTCTTCTCAGATAAAGACTCACTACGACACGCAGATTGCACGACAGACGCCAAGAAAGTTGAAGAAAAAAGGTTGAAAACAAGAGAAATTGGAAGAAGAGAAAAGACTGAAGGATAAAAAAGAAACGGAAGAATTTCACACACAATTGAGTTTTGAGATGAATGCTAAGTTTGACAACGTGTGTAAGTTGTATGATGCTATGCTAGTCAATCAGGTTGCTCAAGGAACAATAAGAGTCAAAGGTTGTGAATCTCAAGAAATAAGTTGAGAGATTATAAGGTTTGCAAGCGCAAGGGCAAGGGAGCGCTAGTACTTCGAGGGGGATCGTAATCATGATGACGATGCAATTGCCCTTCTTATGAGAGAACACCAAAGTTGAAGGTGAAGATGGGATCAGAGATTGAAACTAAAAAAAGGTGGAATCACTGGAGTAACAAGTCCGCACGTTGGAAAAAATGCGTGAGGAAGCGTTAATGGAGGCTGAAACTTGGAGAAAGAAGACACTTTGATCGGGTAACAAGAAAGGCCGTTTGGCTTTATCACCTTCCACACAATCTAAGGAGACTTGTCAAACTACTACAGTGAAAACTACAGGGGAGCATCATCCGATGGGGGATGCGATGTAGAAAGTACTACAATCTGGAGGTAAATGCCTTGAAGGAGTTGTGGTTATAGGAGATGAACAGATGGAGAGAAGCAGAAGAAGAACTTGCTAAGATATAGGAGAAGACGACAAAGATGGAACTGAAGAGACAAACATCACAATCGAACTTACGAGAGAAGTTGAAAGAGGTTGACTATTCGAAGGGAGGAAAAATTGGCAAAGAAAAGAAGAAGAAGCTCACTAGCGGTGTCGCTGGAGCAACAAAGAACAATCACGAGGCTTTTATTAAGGAAGCGAAAGAGGAGTTTCAGAATTTAATTAAGGACGATGTCATTGCGATATGTGAAAAAAAGGGAGTTATATATTCGACGTTGCATGGCACGATCACAGAGATTATCGTGAAGAGAACCAACACGGCTTTTGGGGATGGAAAAGGTACTGCTATTCAAAAGATTTCGGATGATGCTGATGCCATCGAGGCAAA